AATTCTACAACTCCTTCTATTGTAGCATTTTCAAAGATTAAAGAACAAAAGGCAAAGCAAACACTATAAAAGTATTCCAAGACATCAAGGAAGCAAAGCTTAGACCCAGTATCAAAAGAAGGGCTACTGGATTCAGTCAAAACTAGAAAACTTTGACAAGCATTCTTAACTGAAGATGGTATGTCCGAAAATGTGTTAGTCAAAGGTACATAGTGATAGCAACCCACTCAGTCACTATGAACACCCTTGATCAGTACAATTTGATGTGTCTATTTATCTGTTGACTCGAAGTGGAAGCGGTTGGGAAAAGGATCTTTGGGTGTCTAGTTGAGTTAATCACTTCAAGTGATAACAAATATTTGGACGATATGTATGGGGACTTATAAAATAATCTGCAAGAATGTTCAGATTTCAAGTCAAATTAGTCGACTAAGTATTAGGAAAAGAATAGAACACATGGCAAGAACTAGGTTAAATGCAGTTAATACTACATTTGAGAGTTGAAATGTCATCTTAGACATCAAAAACGAATATTTGTGGTAGAGTAATGGCAGTCTTGTACTCCTAGTTTTGGATGGCATGTGAAAAATAAAAAGTATAAGAAATTGACAAGTGGAAACATGAGAGGATGGGAAGAAATGACACCTTCATTAAAAAATATATATATTTTTTGGGCTCTAGGCGAAGAACTTGTGATGCAAGAAAAAATCTACCTAAATAAGAGGGTTGTAACTTGTAAGGTTAGGACAAGTAAGAAGGTATGAACAAAAAGAATAACAAATTAAACTGATTATGTATTTAGGGATTAATATAAGAAAAAATTAATTAGAATGTGAGTCTATTTAATTAGATTCGACCTCTATAAATACTCCTGTTTCGATACGTATTGCATGCAGTTTTGACGTTTAATGAGTATTTTCTTTCATTTAAATTCTTCAAATACAGTTATGGTTTCTTCTTAAGTTGGCCCCCAAATCAAAGGTCACTTCTTGGTTTCCCTGAAATCCACAACATTGATCATGAATGAAAGCGATTTCCCTTATTCTCCTGTTCATCTGAAGAAGCTGCTTGTCTTTGATCTATTATATCCATAGTTGCAATACAGATATTCAAAATACAACAAATATCAGCAACATACTTTTGACTCCAAAGGCACATGAAATATACAAATGAAACAAGAATTTGATACTATGAATCAGAAGCTTTACCAGGTGATTGATGGTTGCCAAACGCAACCAGAAAAATGTTTCCAAGGACAATGAAAGCGGTGGCAATCAGTACTCTATAAAACAAACAGGTTTATCAGCTTGTAACAGTCATGCAAAGGGGGCAAATGAACACCCGACTATTCTGGAAAACTGCTCTTTTCCTAATAGTTGAGACTTCAAACATACTTAACCGTCACTGTTTTGTTCAAGACAAAGTAGGCAAAAGCAATATTTGAGACGAACTGTATAGACCCAAGAGCTGCAAGAAGTGACTGCAAGAAGATAATAACACTAAAATTAAACAGAACTGAAAGAACAGTGTTATGTTTCTTTCAAAATCAATAGCATTATATCGTCCCCACCAAAATTCTCATTATCAATTATGATGATTTCTTCTAAAAAAAAAATGTCAATATCCAATTTACATACTGAGACATCCTAATTGGTAACAAATTTTAACTGACCTGTGCAGCATAGCCAAAAGAGATGAAATTGAGACAATTCCCAAAAGCGAAAAATAGAATACCTGCATGATATTATTAATTAGCATCTCAAGTATCATCAAATTTGCCCTCAAGCACTGCAATGAGAAGAACTATTATAAGCAAGCACCATCAACCGTGCCATACCAACTCTCCAACTCTGGAAGTATATTATGTGCTTTCCATTAGTTCCATCGATACCTTGTGCAGATTGCCTTTCTCTCTGAGAATAAATTAGCAACTAATTACAGCTGGCAATTGGGAGTAGAAAGAAACTTACCCAGAAAAGGGGGAAAAATCAGACAGCAACATCAAGAAGGGAAAGGGGCTCCTAACGCACAGAAGAGGACAGAAGGAAGTGTAACCTATAAACCAACCGCCACCCCCCCCCCAAAAAAAAAGAAAAAAGAGTGGGCCCCGCGGGGGTGTGGTGTGGAGAGGGAGGGAGGGAGAGATAATCCAGCTAAGGCAGTTATAGAGTGCTGCAAAGCAAAATGTTGCACCTTACATTGATTGTAAAATTCAAGACAGGGCCCACTGATAAAACACTTAGTAAATCATATCACAAGAACTCAATCCAAGGTAACTGAACCAGGAAAATCTTATATCTTGTCAGGTCATACGAGGCCGTTCCCCAATTATGCATTGATGGGTCATGCTTAAGACAAAAAGGAAAGAAGAACACAAGTGAAATTTACCATGAATTGCTAATGCAATAAAAAAGGTAGTAGGGAGGAAGCACAAGAAAAGGACTCCACAAAAGGGGGAGAAAATCACCTCATCGTGTCCCAATTTAAGAAGGTTGGTCCCAAAATTGATAGCAATGCTGCCAAAGAGATTGATGAAGGCTCCAATAATCCACTCCCCCATTGAATAAAGATTTAAAAAGGTAGCCTATTAGCTCTCAGAAAATGAAGAATGTAGACTATTAGCGTTGCTGATGCTTAAACAGCGATAATCCAAATAAAAGTGGAAACTCCTGCATCCACCAGGGATGTAGGATAGCCCAGTTCAAACAGACATCAGCACCTGCCATTGATGAGCATGATGTTTAGTCACTTTGTAGAAAACAGTCTGTTCCTCACAAGTCATAGTGTGTTAAATTTATATTTATTTTTTCATTGGAAGAAGCAAAAAGAAAAATTAAAATGATCAACTATAACAAGGAAATGTTAATGACGGTTGATTAAGGGAGCAAGAAACTAACAAATCTATAGCCGCAATATGGAAAGGAAAATTGGAGAAGAAAGTGGTGCCAATCAATTGAGATTACGAGGGATGGGTGGGTAAGTCAGTAGATTATGAACGAAGGAGTAAGTCTGTCAAGCCAGCTCAAGTAGCCAAGTACTTGTTCTGCTAGTTAATTGCATAGCAGGGGCATAAGATCTAATAACTTTGATCTGATGGCGGCATTCCAGTCTGGTGAGAACGAATCAAGCTATCAACTAATCATAAAAAAAGTGCATTATAAAAGGTAAACACAAGTGAGATCCTTGCATTCTGGGAAAATCGCCTGATCTGGTTTCTAAGTTTAGCGAAAGATAAAGCCGCTTTCGCACAACCGGTGAAACTGGACGACAACCAAGAAGGGAAAAACTACATGGATAAACTACAAAGACGAGAAAATTCGACAAATAATTGATATAGGAAAGAATTGAACTCGCAGAGAATGGAATGAAGCTGAAGACAACTTCACCTTGGAAAGCCTCGGTGCAGTCAGAGGGAAAGAACCCTAGAAAGACGAAGATGGAGGACGAATCTGAAGGCTCGCACAGCTGAGGATCTGTACTGGAGGCGATGCTATCTTCTGCTTCTTCTTTATCCTTTTTGGATTGTGGAGAAAGATTGAAAATGTGAGAGAAATATTAGAGTCCAAAGGCAATAATATATCTTTATTATTATCTTCTTCACTAGCAGTACTAATAAGTTAAAATAAGGGGGAGATGTCCAGCGGAAGAAAGGACCAATGTGAAGAAGGGATAGAAAAAGAAATCTCAATGGAATGTTGACAAAATTTGAAAATTCTCCAGCGGAGGAGGAGGTGGAGGGCGACGGCGACGGCGGCGACGCGTAGAGGGCCTTAGAGGCTGCTATGTGCATTGGACCATTGCGTTGAATTTTCTCCTGCGCTGGGCTTTGGCCCTCTTTTACTTTTACTAGTCCTCCTCGCTTCAGCTCATGGGTTTACATCTACAACTGACCCTTTCTTTTTCTTTTTTTTTTAAAAAATTTCTTTCTGTCAAAGCCTTCCTTTGTCCTTTGCCTTTTTCTTTTTCTTTTTCCCTCTCTTTCCCCATATTTGGATTGTTTTCGAAAGAGATGCGGAATACTCCAAAATTCATGAAACACAAGGCGTCATAAGCAGAATTCGAAATGCATCCGATACATCTTTTGACAAAATATTTAATTCGTCTTCGTTGATGGAAACAAGAAAGCGAAGGATGTTTCCCTGGAAACACTATGCTAAAACTTACTAATTTTGAAGTTTGTTACTAGGGGTGAAATCGAGCCGAGTCGAGCTCGAACTCAACGCAGACCACCAGAGCTCGAACTCGAGCTGGAGAAATAAAGATCAAGATCGACTCGATAATAGCATATGCAGACTCGAACTCGACTCGATCGAGCTCGACATGTCATTCGAGCTAAATACCAAGTCGAGTACTCGAGCTCGAATTGATCCTGGTTCTTGCACAATTCCTAATAATCTAAAGAATCTAGTCTTTGTATCTTAAATGCAACACTACTAATTTGTACTAAATAATAAACTAAGTTGCACTAAACATTCGAATTAAAGTACATTAATATCAATTGAACAAGATTAATTGCAATGCAAAGAAACAAAACTTAGAAGCCAATTAAAGTCTTGGAACCAAGCACATGGACAAGACTTAGAAGCATGCCATTGCTTCTTTAGAATTTGAAGGACAAGCACCTCACGGCCAATAAATCCTTCCATGCAAGTCCACATTAGACAGCACACACAGCAAGCAAACAACCGAGAAACATCAAATTAGATCAGAAATCGAATTAAATTGATTTCCTGATCATGGCATGGCTCACGGCCCTTAGACTACTTCCAATCACCTCACGGCCATGATCAAGATTCCAACCAATAACCAGAAACCAAGTATGGCCACGATCAAGATTCAAGAATTCTAGCTTCCAAAATTCAGAAATTCCGCAAAAGAGAAACCAATGAGAAACAAAAGGGTAGGCAGATTAAAGAAAAACCATACGCATGCAGAAACTAAGTGGCCATGATCCACGTTAACATTTCAGCAATATACACAAGTAACAACCTGATCTCAACCTCATCAGAATTTCACGAAAATACAAAAAAGAGTGCAGCCAATTGAAAGGAAAAATTTAGGGAAATTTTCTAGAGTCTAATGAGCATTTAGAAGCTCCTGTTTGTAATATGGTAAATCGAATAGCTTGTTTGCTCCTTATGCATCTTCAAACTTCGGTGTACAATCTACAACACCTAGCCATACACAAATGACAAATCAATCAACTTATGTACAATTTAAATTTAAAATTTGAACACAACTTAAAGCAAATTAAGAATAAGAAAATGAGAATTCACAAAAAAGATGGACCTGATTTCCAGCAAGTTATTTGCTTCTTATGCAACTTCAAACATTAGGCAGCTCATATTCTTTGAGAGCTTTCTGTGGCTGCATTTAGGTGGTGGAAATGCAAATAAATATAATACTTTAAAATTAACAAACAAACTAATAAATACTAATTTATCTCTACAATAACAAATTTATATAGATATAACTTACTTTCAATTTCTTTTTGACCCCGTGTAAATTTCTATACCAATTGCCCGCACACATTAATATCTGGACTGTCTCTGGAGCAAGTGAAACACGGTATGAATCAATCACCTTAATTCCATCACTAAATGTGGCCTCAGATGCGATGGTAGTGAAAGGAATGACTAATACATCAGCTGCTAGCTGAGAGAGTATCGGGTATGCTGATCTGTTGATTTTCCACCAATCTAAACAGTTGAAATCCTTTGAATTTTGTCCAGTAGGTTGGTGAGGCTTGTCTAGGTAATCCACCAACTCGCTCTTATGGGGTTCATCGGATTCGAGTTCACCACAATACTCATCCAAATCATCCCAATAGTCAGTACTTGCTCGAAGTAGACACACTATTTCGGATGCAGGATTTAATGAACAACCTGTCCCTGCACTTCCACTTGTAGCCATAGCAACGTACTCGTCATAAAGCTCAAAGATGGCTTTTCGAACATATGTGATATTCTCTTGAGCTTCATATGTGGAATACATCTTAGGGAAGGCAAACTCTATTGCTCGCATTTTTTGTCTTGGATCCCAGATAGCTGCAATGGACATCAATAAATTGCACTCTTTCCAGTATTTGTCAAACTTGAGTTTCATTCTTGTAATCATACCCCAGACAAAATCATTTTCATCATCCACTCGTGCATCCAAGAGTTTCTTCACCTTTAAAATCTCAGGGAAGAATAGGTTGCTAGTTGGATACTCACTCCCCGAAATTATGTGCGTGGCTGTGTGTAGAACTTCTCTAAAAATATATTGATGACATTCTAGTTAAAAGCAGGACTGTTAAGAGCTTCATCCCGGACATGCGAGAGGTCCAAGAGATCCTCAGAAAAATCAGAATGATGCTTAACCCAAAAAAAAACATATTTGGTGCGATTTCAGAAAAATTCTTGGGTTATCTTATTTCTCACCGAGGTATTGAACCCAATCCCGATAAAGTTAAAGCTATTCAGGAAATGAATCCTCCTTTAAACGTCCACAAGGTCAAGAAATTAACAGGATGATTAGCAGCATTGAATCGCTTTCATTCTCGATTCACCCAAAGGGAATTGCTTTTCTTCAAAGTGTTAAAGAGAGTTGAAAATTTTTTCTGGGATGATGAATATCAAAGAGTTTTCAACTAGAGGAAAAATTACCTTAATCGGCTCCCAACTCTCACCTTGACCCGACTAGAGTAAACGTTGTACCTCTATCTCTTTTCAATAGACGAAACTGTCAGTGTGGTGTTAATCTAAGGGGATGGGGTCCCGCGGCCTATTTATTATGTTAGTCGAACCCTTCGCGGAGTCGAAACCTGATATCTCAGATGGAAAAATTGATATTGTGTCTCATGTATGCCGTTCGGTGGTTAAAACCCTATTTTTTGGCACATCCTATCTGTGTCAGGATGGATCATTTTATCCGACAGATTTTAACCTGGCCTGAAGCCTCTGATTGACTTACTAAGTGGGTTATCGAGTTAAGTCAGTATGATTTGACTTACGAATCTCGAACCTCTATTAAGGCCCAGGCTTTGGCCTGCTTCCTAGCCGAGTTCACCTCTGTGGAGAACCAACATGCTAGCCTTCAAGCCTTGGCTTTCGAGGAATGGATCCTGTATGTGGATGGTTCCTCTAATGATGAAGGGAGTGGGGCCGAACTGTTACTTGTCGAGCCAAATGGGGTAGAATGCTCGTATGCCCTACGTTTCAACTTTTCAACTTCCAACAATGAGACCGAGTTTGAGGTTGTGATCTCAAATTTATGGCTAACCCGCGAGTTAGGAGCTCAGCACATCCGAGTTAATAGTGACTCCCAACTGATGGTCCGTTAGATCCTAGGAAAATATGAAACTAAAGTGGAAGCCATGCAAAAGTACCTTTCACGAGTCCAGCAACTCTACAACCTCTTCGAGTCGTTTGCGATACAATGCATACTTTGATTACATAACAAGCGAACAGATGCCCTTTCCCACCTAGTCTTTACCTCATATTCCTAACTGAATAAAACTGTTTTGATGGAGGTTTTAACCACCTCCGAATTTAATGAAGAGATTATGTACCTGGTGCACATAGAGGGGACATGGATGGATCCTATTGTCTGATTTCTTGACCAGGGTGTTCTGTCGAAGGATAAGGCCGAGACAAGTAAACTACTGCAAAAATTGACTAGTTATATTCTACACCATGGTGCACTGTATAAGAGATCTTACCTTGTACCCTGGTTGAAGTGTATTACCCTAGAAGAGAGAGAGCAAGTGCTAGAAGAAATTCATGGGCTTTTGTGGAACCCATGTGGGGGCTCGGATGCTAACTAAGAAGGCCCTGTTATTCGAGTATTTCTGGCAGACTCTACGCAGAGATTCCTAAATCCTAGTACTCAGCTGCCTATCTTGTCAAGCCCATGCACCTGAGCATCATCGATCTACCAATATCATGGTCCCCATCATCTCTCCCTGACCTTTGGAGCAATGGAAAAATGACATAATCGACACTTTCTCTCGAGCTCTAGGTAACTACATTTATTTAGTGGTGGCCATTGATTATTTCATCAAAGGGGCTAAAGCTGAACCCTTAAAAAGTATAATGGGCCAAACCATCCAGAAATTCTTTTTAAAGCATATAGTCTGTCACTTCGCGGTGCCTTGGGTTGTTATTTCAGACAATGGGAAATAATTTGCCGACAACTCGTTTAAAAGATGGTGCAAAGATATGGGAATTAAGCAATACTTCAACTCAGTAGGGCATCCTCAAACTAATGGTCAAGCTGAATATTTTAATAGAACCTTCTTGTACTAGTTTAAGAGTCTCCTGCACCGAATTGGGACGTTGTGGGTGTACGAATTGCCTAGCGTCCTATGAGCCTACCATACCACCACAAGATCGGAAATGCAAGAAATGCCGTTCTCCTTAACTTACGGATCCGAAACTGTTGTTCTTGCAGAATTCCTCACTCCCAACCCTCGAATGGCGACTTATGTAACTGAGGCTAATGATGAAGACCGGTGAATCGACCTGGGCTTGCTGGAAGAAAAGAGAGACACCTCAGCAGCCAGGTTTGCTTTATACAAAAATATTCTTGCCACCTATTACAATGTTCGAGTCAAACACCTCGACCTCCCGCCAGGAGACTTGGTATTGCGCAATAACTTAATAAACCGAGTCGAACCCCAGGAAAATTAATTCTAAAGTGGGAAGGGCCTTATAGGGTTGTCGAACCCAATCGAAATTGTTATTGTAAATTAGTCTACCGAATTGGTAGTTTAGTATCTCGGACTTGGCATGTCAAAAATCTCAAATTGTATCATCTTTATTGTTCTAATATAAAGGTTATTTGCGTTCACCATTTATTCAATTACTTTTAATGTAATTCAATTATTACTGTTAAAAATAGAGAGGAACATGGGGGCCACAGCCGAATTGATAAAAAAAGGAGACGATATTTTCATTATCATGCAGAAAATTACATTAAGTGATGTTATAAAGTTGGAGCCGAGAGCATTCCTAAGTATCCCCTGTCTCGATCCTGTTACTACCTTCCATCGCCTTGGCGCCGCCTCCAGCATCTTCTTGTCCAAGCTCCTCGACCTCAAACTCGGACAGTTACTGGTTAAACTCCTCACGAACTTCAGCCAGGTCTCGCCCTTCTTAGATTCCTGCAACCATTCGATCATACAATTCTTTGACATCATTGTTATAATTGTTATTAGATTTGAAGGAATCCAAGATTTCTTGGAACAAGAGCGAGCTGACCTCATTTATGCCCGTGGTGTACCCAAACATAAAGTTTGGCAGAGTGAGCTCGCCAAGATCCTTATTAAAACCTTCAGACTTTGAATTCCACTATCGTGGTACCAACCTTTTCAATAGCCTCCTTATTGGGATCATTTTCTTGCAATTGCCTCTTTTACTCTTTGTTGACAGCTGTCCTAAGGGAGTTGGTCTCAGCAATGACTTGGTCACGCTCCTCTCATATGCGAGCCCCTTCATGATCGGCTATGATCAATTTTTTCTCCAAGAATATTTTATTCTAGAACTCGGCAGTGGACTGGTGTTGCTCTAGGAGATAGCCGTATTGCCGGGATATCTCGACGGTAAAAGCTGAAGTCGAGGCCCAAGTGATAGCCAAGTGGTCCATTAACTCGAGAGCAGTCAGCTTCTTAGTATACTCTAAATCTCTCGAGGTGATGAGATCATACACTTTTTCCACTGCACATGGAGGATATATTATTATTCAAACAAGTAAAAAGGATATCAATTAATGAAAAAGAAATTATAATGTTTCCGAAATCTAGTAAAGTAAGAGGGGATTTTGCTAAGGTGAAGAAAAGTTTGGCTGATCCCTCCGTCTACTAACACTGCTTCAAGAAAAAACCAACTGTTGATCCTGAAATCCAACCCATAATTCTTTGGAAGTGGTATTCTTGACAAGCCCGGAAGACGGGTTGGTAGGAGCGTTATGAGGAGGCCACCAGAAGCCTCGTGAAAAATCTTTATTGGGGACGAAGACGAAGTTGTTCTTCTACCTTTTCACAGAGGTTGATGCGTCCACCACCAGTTTAGGAACCTTCTTATTTCGAGTGCCGAAATAAAATTACCCCTTCTTGTTCCCATTATTTTTAATGGTGTAGAATTTTTGAAAAAGATTAACACTAGGTGACACCCCTTGTTTTCGGCAGAGTATCTCGAACCCTATAAAGGTTCGGATGGCATTGGGACGAGTTGGGTTATCCGGACCCCCCAGTAACGAAAACTATCTGGAAGAAACCTCATTGTGGTATCCTTAGTCCTACCTCCACTTGATCTGCATACACTACTACCCTTGACTTCGTTGGCGTAGCAGTTGATTAATTGGCTCTAACCCAATTTATGCTATAGCCTTGACGGAAGAGGTATTTTCATAGTATGACCTCTGCTCCATCTTCTTCGATTGTGCTCCGAAATAAAGAGAGCTCTTCGAAATCAATTTGATCTAACCTCGGCAAAATTGTCGGTTCAATCATCCCTTATTTTAGAGTACCTCCGATCCAAAATCATCATTATACATGACTTCGAAATCTTTTGTCTCGACTACTTGAAACCTGTGTATCTCCTCACTGGCGTGGCTTGCAAATGTCTCTTCCCTGGTATTAGATGTCTCTAAGGATGATCCTTCTGATGGGTTAGGCCTCTCTACTTTAAAAGGTTCGATCTCACCGTCTCCTTATATGTTCTAACTATCCTAGCCATAACTTTATTCAAGAAAGACAAGATGACTTACTCTCAAAATTTGGAATCGGCTACAACCGATTTGTGAAGAAATGCCTTGTGTGATCACTTTGACTATACTATTGTAATTTTCGCTTACGATCAAAAGTGAGAGATGAAAACCCACTATTTATAGGTGAAAGGGGAAACGAAGAGGCGGGAATTTCAAATTTTGAAAGACGTGTCCTTCTCTCTCTCCTCATTAATGAGCGCCTGCTCAACTGACACTCGTTCAAAACACGATGCATCAATCAGACCCTCCAGACGTTTGGTCTTCTCCTGTCTAATCTTGTGACACGTATCTCAAAAACCATTCAGTAACTCAACCTTGGGCTGAAAGTTGCTTGGGTTTCCTCCTTTCTCCTAGGCTGGGGGCTAATTGTGGATGCTCACCTTGACTCACTCGGCCTGACGTATCGTCAAGGTGTACCAACCCACCATGCTTTCGATCAAGGTGAGCATCCCGGCTATCTAAGTGTCTACCCTCGATTTCATCCTCTCGAGATGACACCACCTCGATCGGTTGGCCCCTACAATCAATCAACGTCCGGTATCTATA